CTCATAATTAGTAGAAACTCGAAGAATGAAACTAATATAAATATATTACTTGTTCTTTATAAAGGGAAAATTAAAAGAGTTCTAATTGAAACTAAATTAGAAAGAGTTTTAATTTGAGATGCTACTTGTAGTTAGTATCGACTACATACAGCCGGGTATGCTTGAACTTATAGGGTCACACACAATAAAATTGATTAGAAACTAAAAGATAAAAGAAAGACAACCAATTAAGAATTAATTGAGGTAAAAACTTAATTGAGTATTAATTAGGGACTTTATAATAATTAATGGTTAAGAAAGAGATTATTTGTAATTATGAGATAATTACAACTTGACTCAAACTAGGATTAGAGCTTTTAATGCTCTATAAATATTTTTACGTAAGAGGTGGATATAAAATATAACAACTCTCTTACTAGTATAAGAAGAACCACCTCTCATTCTCTCTCTACTAGTTTATCAATAGTTAAAGTAAAATCTTCAAGTTTATTAATTTGTGTGGATACTAATAGAGGTCAAACGTTTACGAAATTTGGGATAAAGATGAAATAAGATTTGAAAATTTAAAATTTTTTAGAATACTTAAAAATTGTTAAAGGCACGCTTCAAAAGGTAACTCTTAATCTTCTCTATGTATTTAAGATTTTTTAATTTGTATTAAACATGAATAAATTTTAATATGAAAAATCAAATTATTATTATTTTTTTTAAAAAAATTCCGCTACATTTATTATATTATTCATTTCAAACATCACTACTAACCCCTCCCCTACCNGGTGAGAGAGTGTTATAGTGTGGCAGGTTAGCTTCGAATCTCTTAAAAAACTGAATACGCGCCAATGCCGGGGACAGCATGCTGAGAGGAAGAAATTTTGGAGGTGATAAGAGTTACCGTTCGCATCTTGCTTTTTAATGCTACCTGCAAAGTATGACACACACGTGTATGCATCATCTCTCCATAGACTGTACAAATCTTTACTTATATGAGTAATGTTATATAAATTTAAAAAATAGTAATAATGCATGAATCGATGTGGTACAAAATTAACAATCAAGAATATGAATGAATGCAGTCAATGAACAATAAACAAATAATTAATGATAAAATAGTAAATAAAGGGCTAACACAGGAATTTATAGTGATTCGGTCTGGGATGACCTATTCTATTCTCGTAAATGATAACAGTGGCCTGAGGTTTTTATTAATGGATGAAATCGCCGAAAAGAGTATCTCTAGGAGTATTACAGTGCTTGGACAAGGAGAGAGGAGGGTGTACAATGGAAAGTGTAGAGGCTTCGGAGGCGTGTCCTCAATGTTAAGTGGGGGTATATTATATAGTGAGAGTAAGGCAGTGACGTGAGTGAAAAGTCTTCTACAATTTTGATAAGTATAATCTTAGTAGAACTAGATCTCTGTATTTCGATATTATCTCACTCGTGTCCCTATTTTGTCGAAAGATAATCATGATTTTGAGCTTAGTCTTGGACTTGGTCTTGACTTTGAACTTGAATCGAAGTAGGCTTGAGCTTGCCTCATATACAAGATAACGTAGTAGGACAAAAGGGGGAGCCTTGGGTGGCGCCTGGTGTTGGTGAACCCCTGGGCGGCGCCCCAAGGACTTGGGCGTTGGCTATTGGTGTTTTGGGTGTTGGCCTCTTGAACGTCCACCTCTTGATGTGTTGACCCAGGTTTAGTTGGATTCTTCTTTAGGCTTTTTTGGTTTATTTGGGTTGGGTTTGGCCCAAACAAATTCAGGCTCATCAAGTAGAATAAAAAATTAGACTTGATAATTATAATTAGTAATTTCACTGTGGATCTTAATATTTATTAAGAGTGACTACCTATTCAATAATTGAGATTATCAAGTCTAATTTTTAAGTCTATTTAGCATTACTCTATTTTTATTTTTAGTTCAACAGTTAGCGGTATTCGCGTCAACTTAAACACACCTCAACTAATATTGTCTCTTGGTTTGGGCAAGGATTGATCATTCGTGTTGAAATTAAAATATTCATAAAATTCTTCATAATCTAACTTTAAAAAATTATTCAAATTTAAATTTAAGACATATCTGTCCAGATTTTTTAGAGAACACAATTAATCGGTCCCATTGATGGAATTTGTAGCGGGGCCCCACAATGGGGGTTTTTTTGTTTGGGTCCCCCAACAGGTCTGCTGATTAGATTCTCCAGTGGGGCTCTTGCATGACCCAACCCATGACCGTTCTAGCTCGAGTATTACGACCTTCGCTATGGAGACAAAATGAAAGGGTTTGTATTCCAAGAATGTTATACATACCTAATTAATGTGATTATTACATGTGTGTATTCCAAGAATGTTATACATACTTTTTTTTGTTACATGTGTTTAAATTTGTCTTTTCTATTCTCTCAAACTCAGATATTGGTCATTGTAGTCTGAACGAATTTAAAACATTCTATGAAAAACAAGGATAACCAACTTTTAAAGAGTGTCAAAAATATCGAACCTAAAATCTCTAAATTATCATAATTCAACCACTAAATCAGCCTTAATTATTGTATCACTTCTGTCTAGGCCATCCATTTGGGGTCTCTCTATCAATTCCCTTCTATCTTTACAAGAAGGGACACACTACTTGATTTATTCCCTAGGACAGTCGAAAGCCCTAACCTTAAGGAAGCAGCTGCTGTATCCCTTCTCTCCTTTCTTCCTCCATCCTTCACCCCTTCTTGGGTCCCTCCAATAGGGGCGTATGGCAGTTCACATTATCGCTATCTGATGCCATTCAACTGGCAGTTTAGGCTGTACTGCTTGCGGAGCCAGATAAAAAAATGGTTGATGCCTACACAATTAATCAGCAATAGAACAAATCTTAATTATGCTGAATAATGTCAAGAGAAAGCTGTGCCCTCAATGCAATTTGCAGAGTTCTTCAAATACAAAAACTGTTGTTTACAACCATACAGACCATGCACATATACTTGCGGTATCTTATGAGATAGGCATTTCTAACCATGGTCCATAGGAGAGTTGAATTTCACAGTGGGTGATNACCTGTTGTTTACAACCATACAGACCATGCACATATACTTGCGGTATCTTACGAGATAGGCATTTCTAACCATGGTCCATAGGAGAGTTGAATTTCACAGTGGGTGATGAGGGAGCAAAAAGAAGATGGAGGGGCAAGAATAGATGTCTAAAAAAACACAGTAATTCTGCAAGGCGGTTCAGTTAATGGCACTCATTCTCGCCATCTTTGAGAGTACCCATAACTGGGCTGTAGTCTATATAGTATTTGCAACCAAGATAAAGGTATCATAATGAGGATGTATAACATGGGGTTGGTTTCTCTCCCATGCCCAACGGTGTTATTCCTTTAAAGGATGATGAACAATAAGTAAATCTCTTCATCATAATAATAAAGAGAGCACAAAAAAATGGTCAGAAAGCTCATCTGACAAGNACTGAGGATGTATAACATGGGGTTGGTTTCTCTCCCATGCCCAACGGTGTTATTCCTTTAAAGGATGATGAACAATAAGTTAATCTGTTCATCATAATAATAAAGAGAGCACAAAAAAATGGTCAGAAAGCTCATCTGACAAGAACTCAATTACCAGAACAGACCAAAAGCCATTCCTGTATTATTGTTACAAAATGCTGTTTCTCAAAAGTTTTTTACAATTTTTTCATTTAAAAAAATAGGGACAAGAAATAACGGCATGTCATAACAAATTTTTTCCCTATACTTTANCGGTGACGTGAGTGAGAAGTCTTCTACAATTTTGATAAGTATAATCTTAGTAGAACTAGATCTTTGTATTTCGATATTATCTCACTCGTGTCCCTATTTTGTCGAAAGATAATCATGATTTTGAGCTTAGTCTTGGACTTGATCTTGACCTTGAACTTGAATTGAAGTAGGCTTGACTTGCCTCATATACAAGATAACGTAGTAGGACAAAAGGGGCAGCCTTGGGTGGCGCCTGGTGTTGGTGAACCCCTGGGCGGCACCCCAAATACTTGGGCGTTGGCTCTTAGTGTTTTGGGTGTTGGCCTCTTGAACGTCCGCCTCTTGATGTGTTGACCCAGGTTTAGTTGGATTCTTCTTTAGGCTTTTTTGGTTTATTTGGGTTGGGTTTGGCCCAAACAAATTCAGGCTCATCAAGTAGAATAAAAAATTAGACTTGATAATTATAATTATTAATTTCACTGTAGATCTTAATATTTATTAACAGTGACTACCTATTCAATAATTGAGATTATCAAGTCTAATTTTTAAGTCTATTTAGTATTACTCTATTTTTATTTTTAATTCAACAGTTAGCGGTATTCGCGTCAATTTAAACACACCTCAACTAATATTGTCTCTTGGTTTGGGCAAGGATAGGTCATTCGTGTCGAAATTAAAATATTCATAAAATTCTTCATAATCTAACTTTAAAAAATTATTCAAATTTAAATTTAAGACATATCTGTCCAGATTTTTTAGAAAACACAATTAATCGGTCCCATTGATGGAATTTGTAGCGGGCCCCACAATGGGGTTTTTTTGTTTGGGTCCCCCAACAGGTCTGCTGATTAGATTCTCCAGTGGGGCTCTTGCATGACCCAACCCATGACCGTTCTAGCTCGAGTATTACGACCTTCGCTATGGAGACAAAATGAAAGGGTTTGTATTCCAAGAATGTTATACATACATTTTTTTGTTACATGTGTTTAAATTTGTCTTTTCTATTCTCTCAAACTCAGATATTGGTCATTGTAGTCTGAACGAATTTAAAACATATTCTATGAAAAACAAGGATAACCAACTTTTAAAGAGTGTCAAAAATATCGAACCTAAAATCTCTAAATTATCATAATTCAACCACTAAATCAGCCTTAATTATTGTATCACTTCTGTCTAGGCCATCCATTTGGGGTCTCTCTATCAATTCCCTTCTATCTTTACAAGAAGGGACACACTACTTGATTTATTCCCTAGGACAGTCGAAAGCCCAAACCTTAAGGAAGCAGCTGCTGTATCCCTTCTCTCCTTTCTTCCTCCATCCTTCACCCCTTCTTGGGTCCCTCCAATAGGGGCGTATGGCAGTTCACATTATCGCTATCTGATGCCATTCAACTGGCAGTTTAGGCTGTACTGCTTGCGGAGCCAGATACAAAAATGGTTGATGCCTACACAATTAATCAGCAATAGAACAAATCTTAATTATGCTGAATAATGTCAAGAGAAAGCTGTGCCCTCAATGCAATTTGCAGAGTTCTTCAAATACAAAACCTGTTGTTTACAACCATACAGACCATGCACATATACTTGCGGTATCTTATGAGATAGGCATTTCTAACCATGGTCCATAGGAGAGTTGAATTTCACAGTGGGTGATGAGGGAGCAAAAAGAAGATGGAGGGGCAAGAATAGATGTCTAAAAAAACACAGTAATTCTGCAAGGCGGTTCAGTTAATGGCACTCATTCTCGCCATCTTTGAGAGTACCCATAACTGGGCTGTAGTCTATATAGTATTTGCAACCAAGATAAAGGTATCATAATGAGGATGTATAACATGGGGTTGGTTTCTCTCCCATGCCCAACGGTGTTATTCCTTTAAAGGATGATGAACAATAAGTAAATCTCTTCATCATAATAATAAAGAGAGCACAAAAAAATGGTCAGAAAGCTCATCTGACAAGAACTCAATTACCAGAACAGACCAAAAGCCATTCCTGTATTATTGTTACAAAATGCTGTTTCTCAAAAGTTTTTTACAATTTTTTCATTTAAAAAAATAGGGACAAGAAATAACGGCATGTCATAACAAATTTTTTCCCTATACTTTATAGAAAAGAAAGTCTTTTTCCATTATTGATCTTTGAAAGAAGATCAAAAAACATAAAGGGGAAACTACATGAAACACAACTTCATATTCTAACTTTTACATCTGGACGCCAAAAACCTTTCTTACCGATGAGAAACTGCTCCTGATGTAAAGTTNTGTAGAAAAGAAAGTCTTTTTCCATTATTGATCTTTGAAAGAAGATCAAAAACCATAAAGGGGAAACTACATGAAACACAACTTCATATTCTAACTTTTGCATCTGGACGCCAAAAACCTTTCTTACCGATGAGAAACTGCTCCTGATGTAAAGTTACTGACCAGTGAATTGAGCGCAAAATTGGACTTAGCTTGTTAATCATTTCCTTGGTATCCTGAAGTAAAAGAATGCCACCAGGTCTCAGTATCCGATCCATCTCAACTGCCACATCTTTTATGTCACATCTGAAAAAATTGTAGAAACTGAGGTCATAATAACAGCCAAAAACCATGGGAGATGCAAAAACCAATGAAAAACATGCTTTTTTGGAATTTATGTTCGTAGTCATTGAGTTTGCAACGGAAGGTTTGAATGGCCATATAAACATGTATCATCGAAATAGGTCAAACATTTACTGGGCAATTCTGGTGTTACCTTTGGATTAGGTTTCTGATGAGGAAACTGGAATGCAGGAGATCATAGGTTCGAGGGTAGGTATTAAAAGACTCACACCAGTCGTGATAGATTCCGATCAGCCCTCTATCAAAGATAACAGACAAAGTATCTGGCCCGTCAATGGGGATGACATTCATTACCCATAGAGGTAGGTCAATAAGTGCAGCAGCAAATCTGTTAGAGCACTAAAGACATCTCAGACAATGACCAAAAAGCATTAGTAGTAACTAATTCACTAACTAAATATCTTACCCTCCATAGTTGGCATTCATATCCATCACATTCCTTATACTTGACCAGTTTATACCAAGGCCTCCCAGATAAAAATCTGAGACAAGTGTGGACCATTGTTTGGTGTCCTCATAAAAGATATCTTCAGTATCTCGTTCAGCGGATACGCTTGGAGGTTTACTGCGCAGTCTTTCAGGCCAGGGTGAGGGCCAGCTGGATGAGTCACCCATGCTTGCTCCTGGAAGTGGGGGAAGACAACTGTCAAGCGGAACATACCTAGCCACAGAAAAAAAAAATCAATGACCACAATGAGGATGATGGTGAGAAAATCAATTATATCGTAAATTCTGAAATTATACCATGAAATTTTTGGTCTGTTATTCAAATTGCACAATGGTGGGTTATTTTCTTTGCACTTTTCATAGCAGGAAGATTGAACAGGCTTTTGATACATAACTAGCCCAATTCCAGATGAATCTACGGTCTTAGCTACTACCTTCCAGCAAATTGCTTCAGTCAGAGCCACCATAGCTGCAAGAAACATGGAATATGAACTTTCAATTTAGAATCCAAGATTGAAGGACAACACAAAATTGGCCTCACTCCACAAAAAGATACTGAACGCAAATGTGTTCTTGCCTTGTGACAATTCAATGAAACTGTAATTGCATGAATATTTTCAAGAAAATCATACACGGAAGGCGAGATGTAAAATTACATACCCTTCCAGACATTCTGATCTCTTTCATCCTCACGGTAAACTGGTGTGGCTGACCAGACAAAAAACCCTCCAGGCCTAAGAATTCTGTTGAGTTCCATGAGCGGCTTCCCACCTACAATGAATGGCATTATAAGGACTCTAGACCAATCACATTGACAAAGTGTAAACGGTCACAGCACACCATCTGCATCCCAGTGGACCCTGCATCGTGCACAGTGAATTAAATCATATGCATTATCTGGAAATGTCAGCCTTTGAGTTCCAATAACCGAAAGAGTAGCAGGAATTCCCCGCTCAAGAGCAAACTGTATCTGAGCCTCGTGTTCATCCTTTGGGGCAAATGACATGGTGATAACATTTTTGTCAAGTAAGTAGCCACCAAAGCTAGCAACACCACAACCGACATCTAAAATAACCCTCGTGTGCTTTCCCCATTCGATTGTTGGCAAGTTCTGAGGAAAGAAAGGAAAACAGAGTCAGATAGAGTAATGTATAATAAATAAAAAGATAAGTCCAGATGCACATCAAATAACATGCAGAGATTACTATTAAACTGATTGTAAACCAAATTAGAACCAGAGATGTTTTTCATAAAAAAATTCGAGTTGAATTAGTTGTCCATTGCAAGCCAAAGACATCTGAAGAGTCGGTACTGAGTACAGAGCAGAGTTTCACCATTCACTGTTGAAGCACAGGAAAGATGAATTAATGTTTTTTTTTCTTATTGGGTGTAGACACAACACTTTATTTCGTCTGTACAGAGAATTGTCAGTGTAAACCATTTGGTATGTGCCTCTTTAAACATTTTCCAAATTCTGATCACACCAGCATACTGATTACCTGAACTAGGGACATTTCATTACAAAGCAAACAGAAACTTTCACAGTAGAAAAAACACTAAACCCGAAGTTCTCACTGCCAAAGTGCCAGGTTTTTTAAGTATCTTCAATTTCAAAGTATCACCATTGATCAGCATTTGCAAACTTCTTCCTAAATATGTTTCCTTGCGTAACGCTTACTTCTACCTTTTGCGGCCATTTCACCTAAAAAGATATAGCAGATCCCTATTTTCGTGTGGTTGGTTGGAGATGACATCAAGTTAAATGCAATAACAATATTCACAAAACAAGTTACAGACATACGTTGCCTGCTTTGATTGGAGTTGACATCCAGTTAAATGCAACAACACTATTCACAAAACAAGTTACAGACATACATTGCCTGCTAGTCAGCTTTTTAAATCTAGTGAAGAGATAGTCTATATATTACCTTCTCTATAAAGTCAATGTAGTGAGTAACTCCATCCTTAAATTGAGTACCACCTCCAGGGAAAACAAGATAATCACCAGACTTGCGTACCCAATTTTGTTCCTTTTTGTATTCAACAAGCTTTGGATGAGGGACATTATCATACCAGATCTGAAAACCAGAATTTCAAACTGCATGACATGTAATATTCTAACATCAGAAGAACCAAAAATACATGTGAACATATTAATACTTTCTCAAGCTAATTAAAATACCTGTTTTGCTTAAAGACAAGTATATATATATTGGAAGAAAGGAATTTTCCTCTAAAAAATAGACGGTAGATTCAAGCCAATGGAATGTCAAAAGAGTACTGCTCAAATTCAATAAACAGACCTGTGTTCCATGTTCGGACTAGACAGTTCCATAATTTTGCACATAAAGCTACAAATCCAATAAATAAAGGAAACAAGCGAACTGGGACAGTTTTTTTTGCAAAACTTTCGGTTGTAATCAGCATGTGAAAAGCTAAATTTTCCAATTTCTCCATTAAAGTCAAACTTGGCATAAAAACTCCCATAACCAAAGGTAGATAACACAACTTCCATCACGATCACAGTTTGAGTAGACATCACTGCAATCACTAGACTTCCAAAAGCTAATTCATTATTTCCTACTTTCACAGCTATCAATACATACTCAAGCAGGCTATAAGCCTTTTAGGCAAATGTAGGAATTCATCAAACAAATAAGACAACTCCATTTCAAATCTCACATATAATTCAGCTAATACGCCTCTTACAATCTCGAAAACCCAAAAGAATCCCCGATCAACAGAATTAAATACTCAAATCCAAGAAATTAAAACAAGAACTACAATATCTTACCAAACCGTAATCAATCTCACCATGTCCCTGCTTTTAGGCCATGGAACTCGAACCCTATACCCTCTGGGAAGCGGAATCAAACACCGCGGACTACTCGGCTTTGGACAATGCCGCTCTCTGTGCTCCATGTGTCTCCTTGAGCGCAACGCCTTTATAGCCTTGAAATTATCAAGACATGGTATATAATCAGCCGCCACAGAACCCTCACAGACCTTCCAATCCAGCAATTCCACATCACTTGGTTCAACAGTACTGAAATTGGACGCCACGCCGTCGTGTTGCTGAGACGGTGTATTTGGGCTAGCATTTGAGATCGGATGGGTTGGATTTGAATGCGGAGAAGAAGAAGAAGAAGAAGAAGAAGGTATTGGTTTTGATTGGGTCTTAGAGAGATCGGCAGTGAAAATGGAGTATTGAGAGTTGGTTAAGAGAAGGAATGTGAAGAAGACGAGTAAGATGAAGAGAGAGAAGATGAATGGGTATTTTCGTTCTTTCAATAGATTATCTACTGAGATCGCCATTCTCTTTCAAGAGGTTCTGAACTGAATCAAGAGAGAGAGAGACAGATGTTAAAGACGGTGCCGCGGTAATTATGTGGGGGAGTTTGAATTGAAATATTATTAGTTTATCATATAGGAAAGCGGGTGGGGCTCACCATGGTCTGTTATCAATCTGTGGAATCTCTATGTAAATGACGGTTTATTCTGGCGGGGACATAACTGATAAGACCACGTCTTGAGATTGGTTGGGTTGGGTGAGAGTTGGCAAAAGGCTTCAACGAATCAACAGTGACTGGGCCTGAGTTGTGAGCTTTGGACATATAATGTTTGAAATGAAAAACATATTAAATTATAAATTAATTAAATATTAAAATAATATGGCATGTCATAAAAATAAGTGATGTGATATTTTGGAAGAGAAATATGTAAGGGATAAGATTGAACTTATGAATTACCTTATTATATAGATATTTCAATCAATATTTTGAAAAAGTTATTTATTTATTTTTAAAACATGTCAAAATATTTATATTTTCTAAGTCACTGAAATAATACACTGAAACCTAATTTTAATCCTTGCTAATGACAATTTTGCTTGTAAATTTAATATAAAATTAACTGAAAATGATAAAAGTGAGATCAAACTTGTAGTCTAAATTATACGATAAAAATCAAATAACGAATCAGACATTTGTGAACCCTTTTTTTTTTGGGTTGAGAAACTTCTACACTATTTAGACTACAATTTCGATCCGAAACTTTAATCAGACTAGTAGTGTTAAAAATTAACACAGTAATAATTAATTTAGATTTTGCTTTAGTAGGCTCAGATAATTCATGAATAAATCTTTCAGACTCATCAAATAAATAGACACAAACACGACTATATACCATCTCAAATAACTTTAAGTATGAACTGAACAAATTTTGATAGGCTAAAATGTCATTGTCAACCCGAACAACCCCTTTATTTCTTTTACCTTCCTCTTTACCTGGTTTTTTTAACAGGCTACTAGCATGAGTTGAGACAATTCTATCGAAGTTCATAGATCCTTGCCTGAGCTGCATCTAGCAGCAGTTTTAGAAGTTTTATCTACAGATTTCCCATGACTTACATATCCTAAACACCAAGAAGATAAATATAGCAGAGGAATACCGTAATTTTCGGATTGACATTGCCTTTTCAAATTTTTATTATTTCATTTAAATGACACAAAAATGATTAGATCAGAGTTCGTAAATCATAATTTCATCAACACATACCATGTCATACTTCCCACCATTCAAAAAACGACCTCAAACTTTTAGATAGCAATAAGCAAAATTGAACAACATACACACAAATCCTGCCTAGCAAACCCATATGCCAACTCTCACAAAGGAAAGGACAGTCATAGTTATTAGGAGGTTAATTGTGTGATTAGCATGTGCTTACGAGCCGTGCACATGCCCCACACACACACACACAAGCACGCCCACATAAGGTTATTAGTTGAACGAACCCGAGTCAAGTTGGAGTTGAGATTAAAAATTTGTTTCTTAATCGAATCTAAAAAATTATTTAAATTCGATTCGTTTAGAAAACGAGTCAAAAATAAGTCAGAGTCTACGCCTGTCGATTTGAACTGAACTTATAAAACTTATTTTCTAAGCGACTAAAAAAAAGGGAAGACTAATAAAGGTAAAATATTTTGATCAATAAAATGACACGAGCATGATTTCATCAGTGCCACTACGCATAGCAACTGCTGAGTTCAAATGATAGAAAACAAGTTATTATCAAAATGAAATGATTACAAAGCTCCAACACAAACAAAACGTAAACGCCCACCGTGGGGCTCGAACCCACGACCACAAGGTTAAGAGCCTTGCGCTCTACCAACTGAGCTAGACGGGCTTTTTGTTGGTTACGTGTTTAATTTATAATTTTTTTGCTTCTCTAAACGAGGACCCTGTGGAAATCCCCTTGCAGGTGCTCGCTGCTAATGTAAAACTGGAAATTCATAAACTAAACTGGTCGAGCCAGATATGGGATAAAATAAAATAATACTAATACACCACTAAAGGGTCTCCACCGAGAATATTCATTAATTAAGGGGACTTTAATAACTTATTACACTAACACAAAGCAATTAAGACATCTTATTTGAACCTAATTTGAAGATATAATATGTTAAATTAAATGTGAAGTTTATCCAACACTATAACTCACAAATAATTTAATAATTATATTGAGTTTGAATAAATTCTCAAATTAAGTCACAATAATATTACTTGATCAAAAAATAATTTTTTAAAATCCAAGAGCCCAACCCTTGGAGGTTTTAGTGTGGCAATGCGAGGGTGCACTATTCAAAATGATTTTTTTTCTTTTTTTTTACCGAGTGTTTAGACTTGCATTGATTAGTCCTTCTAATTGTTATCGCTGGCTTGAGTTGAATTGTAGCATCTCTCTAAGGATAAAAAGTGGCAAACCCTTTAGTGGGTGTGAAAAAAATTTGAATATGAGATCTTGTGCGCAGTGATTCTCGCACAATAAAAGAAAATGACAGATCTCTCTTTTGGTGAACACGGAATTTACGTAAAAGTCGAGGATCCCGAGACAACATAAAGTGAAAAAGATCGTAAGGAGTTGTGATGAATTACTTTTCCAGCTGTCCACATGATTTCGACAAGTTGAAATGAATTTTGCCACTCAAATAAAAGAGTTATAAGAGCGCTAGAGTGTTTTTCGACGTAATCCCTCCGATGATCAAGTGGATATGTGAGAGATGTAAAGAAAAACACTGTTATATTGTTCAATATGGTTTGCGTACCTTTGCTTTAAATTTTAAAGAGCTATTTACACCTTCATGAAAGTAATCATTGTTGATAAGTGGGCCCCTTGAAGATAGAGCTCCCCATTAGTCCATTTGGAAGACAGTCGGCGGTGCTCAATCCTTGGACAAAGCACCTTCCATTTTGTGTAGAAGAGGCTCAGGCATTAAATGCTCAAGTTCCCGAGCACTTAATGCTATTTCTTCTGGGTTTTTCGAACGTTAACTATGTCTCATCCTTTTGTGAGATCATTAAATGCTTCCCTGTGATAACTACACACGAGTAGGGACATCTTTGTCTTTTGACCCTTGATTCTGTGCTCTTTGCCACGTGTAACATAGTTATTGGATATGTGTCTGTCCCCTTTGCCATTCTGATTGCTTTGGAAAGAGAAGTCAATAATTATTGATCAAGTTTAACTCCAAATAACAATAATCGTCATTCTGATACCTCTGCCTCGAGATCCTAGAGCTGAGATGACATGTTTGGAATAGATCTCGAGAAAACATTGACGCCGAGGACACGTGTCAATCACAGAAGAGTCGAGGAGTATTGATGTTGAAGACACATGTCACTATCTGAACCCTCCGATGAAACGTATGCCGAGAACACGTGTCACTTTCAAATGATATGTCTCAATAACAGCGACAAATCAGTGCCTGGGACACGAGTCCATCACAGATGGGTCCGAGAAACCTTTATTGCCAAGGATGCTTGTCTCAATAATAGTGCTCCGAGGGAATGGAAGTCGATGACACATGTCAGCCTTTGGGAACTCCACATGACTAACGCCAAGAACACGTGCCGACTCCTTCCTGTTTCTTTGAGGTGTCCCATTTCTAAGTTATCAAATGTCAACTGGTGAACACTGATAAGTAACAAAAATTGTTGTCCTAAAGTTTTGGATAATAGATGCCTAGGCCATTTTGAATATCGACTCAAATTCAAATTCAAATTTCAATAAAAAAAAGGAATAAAAAAATTGATTTGGTATAAAATTATAACCTTTTTAAAAAATTCTCATATTGTTCCGTGAGTTCATTTCTTTAAATTTTTTCCTCAAGAAGTCGATGTTATTTCTTCTAAAACCAAAAAAAAACCCACCTTCAAATTCCTTCTGAAACTTTGTTCAAAAAAAGAAATTCCTTCTGAAATCCATCAAACAAATCAAAACCATGAAATCAAATAAAAATTCACATAAATTTCGTCTGAAACCAATCAAACCCACCTTCGAATTGTAACTAAATTTATGTTTATGGAGAAAGGTAAAGAGTGATACGTGACCTAGGGTTAGAAACTTACCTTCAAATTTTTTTGATTGTGTCATTGAGAAAGATCTATGGAGGCTAACGAGGGCGCTTAAATTTCGTTCCTTCCATGGTTGTGACCGATGGATAGAAGGGGTAGATTTGCCATGAGATTAAGGAGGCTGTGGTTTTGGTGGGGAACCCTTGTTTGCAGGCGATAGAGAGAAGAATAGAGGTTGTGTTTTTGGCTCAAAATATTGAGTAAAAAGTTTAGTGTTCTTTGGGTCAAGAAAAGAGTTTTTCTTATTTTAATATAAGTTTAAGTTGAAAGTTAGGCTTTCTCCAATGGAAACTTACACCTTCACTTAAATTTGAGTGAAAAATAAAAAATAAAAAATTTGATATAAACTTCATAAAACTCGCATTTGAAAGAAGAGAAATTAAAATTTAAATAAGAACAAGCTTAAATTTAAAATAGAATAAAATATGACTATTGGATCTTTAAAATAGGATGTAATCTTACCATTAAAAATTTAGATATAGATTTGAGTTTTCTTGATTTGAGTTTAAAAAATGGTTTTTCTTTATTTGTTACGAATATGAGTCTAGTATTGAAGAAGTATTTTAGACTATTTTTACTCAAATTTAAATTTGAGTATAAAAAAGGATAAAAAAAACTCTTAAATTTTTTTTCCAATGCTAGGCCCATATCTATACCAAATAAAGGGAAACCCTTTTTGAAACCCAAATCAAGTGAGACTTAAATCCTTACCCTTTTCACCAATGGTGTGATTACACCTCTCTTTAAAAATTCAATGGTCATATTTACCTTTTTGTAAATTTGAGTTTGTTCTCACTAAAAAAAAAAAAGTTTTCCTTCCTTTAAATTTGAGTTCTCCATTGAAAAGGTCTATACCAAAATAAGTTTTTTATCTTTATTTTTTTTAACTCAAATTTAAGTAAGGATTAGATCTCCAGTAGAGATGGTCTTAAAAAAAGTTTTTAAGCCACTTT